GTAGATTGCCCAATCTTCCTTCCAAGGTGTGCCTGGTGGGTTTAAACCTCCAACCTTCTGGTTAGCAATCAAATGCCTTAGGCACTACGCCACCAGAGCGCCCACTATTGGGTTACAACTGTTCAAATAGCTATGAAAACACGTATTTGTCTCACAATGCTGAGTATTATCCATAAGAATATTTATAAGAATCATAAAATGTCTCTCTATAGTATTTCCCCAATACTTTACTCTCTTGTCCCAACCAATCCACCACAGCTTTTCTAGTCAAGGCAATAAATACTCCATAATTTAATTTTCCATCATCATCTTACTTAATTCAGCAACATACAACAGGATTGATCACCCTTACTTCCTTAAATTGTTTTCCTCACTTGGCTTCTAGGGCATACACTATCCTCATTTTATTCCTGCGTATTGTGATAAAAAAAGAACACTGGTTAAAGCTCTTGACTGCTAACTGAAAGGTCTGTGGTTTGAACCCATCAGCAGTTCAGTGGGAGAAAGGTGTGGCAATCAGCTTCTGTAAAGATTTATAGCCTTAGAAACTCTGTCCCATAAGGTTGCTATGAGTTGCAGTCAACTTTACTGCTATAGGTTTATTTTTTAATGTGGTGAAATTTGATCCTCCATCTCAGTCCCATTTGTTGATTATGTGTCTTACTCCTACTCTTTAAAGTAGAGACCAGGCACCCAGTCTCTGAACCTCTCATCTATTCTACATATATTTTTTCTCATTGGGTTATTTCATCCAGGCTAATGGTTTCAAATGGTTTCTATACATTGACGCTTCACAAAAGTATATGTAATTACCACACTTCTACCTAAATTCCAGCCTCATATCTACAGCAACTCAGTATCTTCCCTTTAGTGTCTAATGGCACCTCAAATTTAGCATAATGAAACTGATTCTCTGCGCTCATCCTTCTCCTCCCATGATGTTTCACATTTTGGTTAGCAACAAATCTATCTTTTCTTTTGTTTGTTCTATTTTTTTTTTTGTTTGTTTGTACAAAAACTAGTATGTCTGACTCTTCTTTTTCTTTTACATTCACACCTAATATGAAACAAATTCTCTCATTTCTATTTTCAAAATAAATCCGGAGTCTCATCACTTCTTAACATTTTCATTAGACATTTGCTATAAACGTCACTATATTTTCTTACCTGGACTATTTTAATAACCTACTAACGGATCTACCTCTTCCTACCTTTACTTTCTTAGAGAATAGTCACAGTACTAAAGCTGGGTGAGATTGGGAAAATTTAAGATAAGTCATATCATTCCTTTCCTGTAATTGTCATCACACAATAAAAGCCAGTCATCGTAATGGTCGACAAGAGCTTACATGATTTCACCCCACAATTGCTCTGTGTTTTTATCTTCTGTAAGTTTCACATCACTCATTCTTCCCCAGCCATATTGTTTCTCAATCACTGCAAATGAGTCCAAGAGTTGTTGACTACTGGTCTTTTTCAGCCTAGAATTCTCACTCTCTGACATTCTTCAGGTCTTTTCGGAAATGTCACTTTCATAGTTAGGGTTACCTTGACTACTTTACTTCAAATTTGACTTCACCCACTATACCTCCCTCGGCACTCAGCTCCTTTACCTCTCTTTACTGTCGTGTCCCCGCACCCCCTCTACCCCCCAAGAATTTATCATCATCTGAGGTAGCATTCATTTCATTTGCCTATTTTGTTTTGTCTGCATGACCCAACTAGAAGGATACTACATAATGGCAAAAATTGTTAGTTTTGATCATTATTAAATCCTCAGTAGTTAGATAAGTAGTTTATGCAGTGGCCTAAAACAGGGCTCTTAATAGATATTGGTTGAATGAGAAAAAAGGAAGAGTGTATAAATGAGCAATACAATGCTTTTAATTTTGTATTATTTGTTTTTAGCATACCAGTTATATAGTTTGCAGTCTCTTCCTTTTCATTAGTCTGTTTGAAATTTGTACTATGTATCTATGATTATTTTATATCTATTTATAATCTATAAATTTATATATCTATATAATTATTATATATCTATATAACAATTTCTAGCATTTAAGTCAGTGGTATCTATAGTCAATGTTCCTCCCCTTATAAAAGTCAAGGTGATTGTTCTTACACCTATGTTTTCTTAGGCACAACTGACAACATAAGTTCATCATCAGGCAATTTTAATGCTCTGTAATAAAATTCTCTCTAAAGTGAAAATTTAAATTCTTTAGTAATGAGTAGGAAATATATTACTTTGTGTATTACACATTTCTTATCCATGTTGCTTCCATAATTTCCTCCTTAAAAACATTCTCCTTTACAGAGAGAGTGAAATGAAATCATTAGATTTCTTCAGGAATACTTTTTTTTCTCACATTTGATCATCTGCCCCAGCAGGATCATATTAATTGATTTTTATTTTTTTCCAATAAATAGTAGTTTAAACAGACTTTAAATCAAACCATATTAATTTTGACTCAAAACTACTGTGATATTCTTTTAGTTAAGTATGGCAGTGAAACAATTTCCCCTGGTATTTTTCCCGCTTCTGTTAATATTGGATTATTTAAAGGACTACTCTTTTCTTCTTCATTGGAATCTTTTATTATTGCATATAAATTACATTTATAGACCCTCTTTTTCCTCACGAGATACCACAGCTTTTACAATTTCTCACTCTGGCTTACAAATTACCTTCTGAATGGTGAAGTTTGCTTCCCTACAGTCTAAGACTGTATAATGAGTGCCCATATTCATCCATGTTAAATATAAAGTGGGCTAGTCATTTCCATGCCATCGATCCATATCAATGTACCCTTATAGATTACTCAAAATTAAATGCCCAGTCGAAGCTCTCTGGTTTAACTTTTTGAGAAATTAAATTGTCACCAAGACAATTACAAAAATTAATCAGATGCTCTTTTTCATAATAGGACATCTACTGAGTTCCCCTGATTATTCTATCTTGGCTCTGTGTCAGCTTTGAAATCTGTTTTAGGAAATAAAATCATCCACAGTATTTCCTTTCAATCTTCGGGGCATTTTCCCTTGGTATTTTAAAATAAGAAATATCCTTTTTTTTTTTTTTTTTTTTGTAAATGGTCTTTTATAACCACATTTATGGAGTGCCATGCAAGTACAGAGTTTCTTGCTTTTTGATGATGATTTTCTTCCACTTTTCTATTCTTTTAAAAAGAACTGTACCTTCTCATTACCATCTAACTCAAAAACTCACTGCCTTCCAGTCAGATTCCACTCACAGCGACCCCGCCTTGGGTTTCCAAGGTGGTATCACTGCGGAAGCAGATTGCCCAACTTTCCTTCCGAGGAGGAGTGACTGATGGATTTCAACTGCCAGGCTTCTGGTTAGTAGTCAAATGCCTTAGCCACTAGGCCACCAGAGCTCCCTCTCATTACCATATTTCTGTCAAAATACTCATCCCACCAGTTTCTGGTGATACTCACTTTGCTATCACCATCCCTTTTCTCTCTCGCTCTTTCTCTCTCTCTCTCACTGTGTTATGATGTCCTTGCCTACTGTTTACCAAATAATAAATATTTAGCCTTTCAACTTTATTTGCTTCATATGTAAAGAAGAGTGATAATATTAATCGCAGATGATTGCTGTGAATGCTAAATGAGATAATATGGGCTAAGTCCTTTACCTGACTCTACTGGAAAGACAGTAAGTCCTCTGAAAACACAGCTCTCTTGCCTGTGAAGCCAAAGTGAAATGAGAGGCTTAGTGTTGGAGGAGTTTGCATTATTGTCTGGACAATGGCTGGTAACTGATTACCTCCATGCCTGTTCCAAGTGTTTCTCTCTGAATCCCATGTTTATGGAATATATGCTGTTGCATATTTTCTTTCACTTTAAGAATATAAAATAACAATCCTAACTGGAGAGCTTTTCACAAGTATAGATATGAATTCTTCAGGCTATAAACGTTTTTGAATGAATATTTGAAATCATTTGCACAATTATGTGAATGGTGATTATACCCAACATTATCTTGTTTTATAAATATTTCATACAATTGAGTAAAGCAACCAAATAATTTAGATTTTTCTGAATATAAAAACCAAACTCATTGCCATCGAGTTGACAGTACCTCCTCATAGCAACCCTTTAGGACAGAATAGAACTATCCTATAGGATTTCTAAAGCTGTAAATTTTTACAGACACAGACTGCCTTATCTTTCTTCCATGGAGCAGCAAGTGAGTTCAAATCACTGAACTTTTGGTTACACCTCTGTGCTGTCATGTATATGTATGTGTGTGTGTTTTCTTATATAAAAAATAAAAATTCTTAATTTTAGGTGACAGGATTTTTTTACAATTATAAAATTACTTTGACATAGATATGTGTAAAATTAAGGAAACTTGATATTTCACAGAAACTGAACAGTATAATCTGTGTAGAGGATTTTTTCATAATTGAAATGTAGTTTTCAACCTGAATTAGTAAGAAAATTTCTTATTTACTTATTTTCTAAGAAAATATAACAACAGGCTACATTAACTGAAGGTTTAGTCAATAACTAAGCATTGACACTATTTTAAATAACTGACTAATTCATTACTCTGAACTTTTATTGTTATCTGACAAATAAAACCAAATGTGCATTCATTCACCCATTCACTGAACAAACACCTGAAACATAGTATATTATATACCATTTGATTTTTCTTTATAATGTTAATACTCTGCCTGAATGTTGTCTGCTTTCATTTTATGACATTATGTGAGAATTCATTCTTTAACACTTTTCTCTCTACTCACCCAAAAGATAATTTTAAATTTGCCCTATTATTTTTGAAAGTAAAATAAATTCTTATGCTTTTTTCAGTATTGGCAATTCAGTTCATATTTTTATATTTGTCACATACTGAATTGGTACTAATATTTTAAATCTTATAATTATCAGATAGGTTATTTTAAATATATCATTTTATAGGTAGTGAAATTGGTTTTATTTATCCACAATAAGGGCTTTAACACCTATTAATTCAAGTGGGCTGACACATTTAAGGCCTCTTTCACTCCATTTAACTGTTGCATCTGGCTGGAAAAAGAATGATGGCAAAGATCTTGACCTTGGAACACTGGCTGGATTAACGGATTCAAGTGGATGATGGACGTTGTGGCTGGATTCAAGTGAGGGCTGAACAATGCAGGGATAAATGCTGCAGGGGGTAAAGGCTGAAGTGTTATATGGGAGGAATGGAAAGGGGCAGCTGTGACTAAATGCAGGGGATGACCAGCTAAGAAAGTGGGATGTGCGGGGATGACGGCTGGAGTTAGAGGTGAAAATGTGATGGGAGTGAAATGAGGTTGTGAAAGAGGATGCAGATGGGGTATTGGTAGGTGGCTGCTGTGGGAATTGAGGGAAGCAGAAACAGCAAAATGTTGCAGGAATGTGTGGTGGATGGTGGTTATAGAAGCATGCTGGTGAACTGGAACTGTCTGTACAGCTGAGGCCGGAGAGAAGGCAGCTGGGCCTGCAGCAGGCAGAACTCGAAGATGCTTGGAGAGGAGCTGTTTCTGCATATGCTGTTGGGCTTGTAGCTGAAGGAGCTTATATTTATCTATTTCGTCTGGAGAAAATGTTATGGGTTGTTGAATTAAAGGGGGAGAAATAGATTTATGACACATTTCTAATCCATCTTCAACATTGTCATGCATCAGCATAGTTCTGTCATAGTGAGAGTTTATATTCCCCTCCACATGATTCATATGCATGCTTACATCCTGTAATTCTAGATTTATTTGGTCCTCTTTGGTCTCTGTTGAATTAGTAACAGTAGTATCTTTATTAGACGGTAGAGCACCAGCGCAGTCATTTGGTACTGGGTCACAGCTTTGAGTTAAAGGTTGGACTTCACTAATGAAAGGTTGTGATTGATCTTTTGTTGTTACGTTCTTTATGTTTGGTGACTGAGACTCTGCTACTACCTGAATTATACCTCGAGATAGCCGGTTTTCACCATCAGTGTCTGTGAAAACAGTAGAATTACTTGTCTGTGAACATTTTACTTTGCCTTTCTCAGTAGTCCTTAGAACTGCAGTGCCTTTATGATGTCTCCTTTTGCTTATGTTCTGTGTTTTTTGAGGCAGAGGCAAAGCTGGTCTGTTACAGAGTGGTGGGCCAAATTGAATTGTGCATTGAATTTGTGAATGAGCCTCTGATTCATTTTTACAGCTGTTTGAAGAGAACTCAAAATTGGTTGTGCGTTCCTGACATTTCTTAGCTTGCACTCTTTCTAAAAGGCTTTTGGCAGTCAGAGGGGTTCTCTCTCTTTCTGTCACATCCAACTCAGAGTTTTCTGAAGGGCCACTGGAACAGTTTCTTAGAAGGCAGCTGATATTCCCAGAGTTGCACTGCATGGATTTTACTTTTCCCAGATCACAAATGTGGGGGCTGTCCAGAGAGTCATGATTTCTTTCATTTTTATGTAGGTGATAAATTTTCTCTCCTGAGTAACAGCCCAATTTGCTGTGCTGAAATACCTGACAATTAGGTGGTTTTTCAGTTGGTGAGCCTGAATCACAATGGATGACCCTCCTGAATTTTGGCCCTGAAAATTCTTGTTGATTTTTGCTCAACTTATGTCTTTGTCTGCAGTGGCCATCTCTATGTTTTGAGTATTTTTCATTTTTAAATGATTCCCACAATTGGCAGTTTCTATCTCTCTGTGTTTCAGCCTGCAGCCAGTCACTGCTCACTATCTCATCAGATAAGGAGAGGCAGTTGTGCTTTCTGCGTTTCCGTTTGTGCCTTTCAACTGGGTTGCATTCTCTTTTACAAAAATAGAGCAAATTACCTCTATTGAAAATTGTACTGAAGTCCTTCCTGTGCTCGCTGTGGCCCCCTACTCCATAAGGACTAGAACCCCATTTAAATTGATTTCTATCTTCAAATTCTGAATGAGCATCACAGGGAATCAGTTTATTCTTCTTTTTAGTCCTAGACATGTAGGGAGTGAAAGATAGACCCTCATTTGCATTATTTAGAACTACCCGTTGGCAGCTTTGCCAATGAATCCTTGAAGGTTCCTTAGATTCATTATCACTGTTATTCTGATTTCCTACACAATCCTTTGGAGAGATCTCAAGATAAGCAGGCACTTTAGGATTTTTCCTACCCAAATCACTTGCACTAAAGTTATGTTTATCCATGTTTGGTTCAGAATCATTGTAGTCCAAATTATATTTTCTCTGAAAATTTTCCCAATCTGGATTAATTTCAATCATCTTTGGTTTTAGAGACTGATTATCTTCTTGGACCACTTTTTGTTGGTCTTTGATTAAACCTGAGGATTGGCTCTCTATTTTAGTCTTCTTTCCACACAATTTCTTACTCAAATCTGTTTTTAAGTCTTCTGGATCGTGGCTGTTCTTTGTGTTCCGAGAAATTTTAAAATCAAAATATAATGGGTTACACCCATAGGAGATACAGGGTTGTGTTTTTGTAAACAGCAAAAGTTCTGTAGGCCATTGGAGAGTGGTGTGGCCATCCTTGCTTTGCACATGAAGAAAAGGCAATGATTTAGACTTCACATCATGAAGACATGTTTCTCTTATGAGCCTTTTCACATTTTTGCTAACTCTTGCCGTTTCATCTAAAGATTTATTTCTGTTCTCTATTCTGGGGTTAGAATTTAGATGCACTGTATCCCTTTGTTCTCTTGGCTCTGGTGAAGGAAATTCATCCAGACATTCAAACACCCTTGTATCACTGTGCTTGTAAATGTTTGGTGGGCTAGAGGAAGCATTTGCTTGGCATGGATGATTTATGTGTTTTTCTGAAGCATTCTTCAATGTATTTTGAGTTTCTTTTTCTCTGCTGGAAGGTGTAAAATCCACATCTGAAAAATGAATGTTAGATTTAGAGAATGAAGCTTGAATGCCAATTGAATCTTTTAGTGTTTCATCAATAGAGTCATTTTTGTCTTGCAGAATATTAGAGCTTATGGAGAAGGTATTGTGTAAGCCACTTTCCAGATGGCTTGGTGAAATATTTATATCTTGTTCCATAGTAATCTGTGTATCCTCATTTGTAAACATGCAGCACTTGCATTTCTCTGCAGTTTGGTTTGTTTTATAAAAAGGTGACTTGTTACAATCATGTGTTTCTTCTGCATTCTCACTGAAAACCGATGCTGAAGATTCTAATTTTAGATGCACTTTTTTGGAAAAAGAAAACGATACTCCTGTCCTGTGACTGACATTTCTGGGATCTGGAGATGTTTGTGGACTCTGATTTCCAAACAAGTAACGTCTGTCTGTTGGTAATGGGTGTCTGTTTGGCATAGTGGACCGCTGTTTATCAGAAATACTCCTAGGGAGACTTTTTCCTTTGAGGAGAAGAGCACTCTTCATGAATGATGTCTTTCTGCCATTCTTAATGGGAAAAATTCCTTGCTGTAGTTGTTTTTCTATAGTTACCCTGGAAGCTTTGTATGCTGGTCCATTTCCAGAAACACTGCAAATACAACAAATATTTAAATGATTATGATGTAAGGTTTGAAATCTTATATATGTTTGCACATTTCACATTGTTTCTGTGATGGCTTATGCTAGTATATCTACTGTAATATAGCCATTTTATTGTACTTATACAACTCAGTGTGTCATAATGTTTCATAGTGGCTATTTCTAAAATGAATCATATCAGTGCATTCTTTTGAAATTAGCAAACAAAGCAGGTAAATTTCTTATGCTAGTGCTGCAAAGGAAACACAGCACTGTATTTACATCACAATATGTGTCCTCCAGAGCTATCATTTTTGAAATATATAATTTAACACTATTTTTGCAAAGAGTTTTCACATCAGTGCCTTCACATCAAATATGAAATTAATGGAATTAAAAGGTACTTTCAAAGTATAGAAATAATTCTTTAATTACCTTCTTTTTGTAAAAGTTATAGCATTTTGGTTCTTTGTTTTACAATTGTCTCATGTTTGTTTCCTTTGGAAAAAAAGGTGGTCAGTTATTTCTTTGTGGACCTGTCACTAACTTGCCTTTAATTATAATAAATATATTATGAAACAACACACATTTACAAGCAATTTCAATAGCTTCAATGTTTTTATCTTTTTGTTTCTTACGAAAATATTTTGTTTCTATTTCCTGTGCATGTAAGTGTCTTAATCTTTTAGCAGCTTTTGGAAGATTATTTATTCTATTGAGCTGTATTAGTCATTCAAGCAGAAAACTGGAAATGCCAGCACATATAACAGAAAAAAAACTCTTTAGATTAAAATTATATTGCCCTTAGAGAAGACAAATATTTTATGAGTCTGTTATTATGAAAAGTCAGGAAAGGTTTACACACGGAAGGAAATTTTCTTTTTTAGTTATCAGGGATAGGAGGGGAGGGGAAGGAAGATTGCTAGCTAGTTAAGAGACATGTATTGATTTGGGTGAAAGGAAAGGCAATATAACAAAAGTGTGTGACATGGAGAGGTGTATAAGAGGTACTGTCAACAAAGATAAATACTATCACATACACAATACTGCATTAACAGTAATAACAAACACTAATCTCTGGGTAGATACTTAGGTAGACAAGATGATCAGGTAGGTTAGGTGAACAGTAGTAATACACCCATGACTGTGTATAGTTTTAGCAGACTGTATTTCTATATGCTAATTACATTACATACAAATTTCCATGTGCTATAAAAATGTCCACATATATAACAGCACTAATGGGGCAAAGTTAAGATAACTTCTTGGCCACATCCAAGCACCTTGAGGGAGTATCGCTATGCGTGTGGGCCTGGGACCATGGTTGAGAGGGGACATCAAGCTCAGTTGGCATATGTTGTTGTTGTTATGTGCTGTCTAGTCAGACCTGACTCATAGTGACCCCTCTTTGGGTTTCCAAGGCAATATCACTACGGAAGTAGATTGCTCAACCTTCCTTCCGAGGAGTGGCTGGGGGGTTTGAACTGCCAGCCTTCTGGTTAGCAGTCAAGTGCCTTAGGCACTATGCTACCAGAGCTCCTAGTTGGCATATATAGCACACAAAAACACTGTTCTACCATCTTACTTCAGTGAGTACTGACTGGGGTCTTAAAAGTTTGTGAGCAGCCATCTAAGATGCAACAATTGGTCTCTCTTTGTCTGGAGCAAAGAAGGATGAAGAAAATCAAAGATGCATGGATACAATTAGTCCAAGGGACCTCTGGATCATGGGAACCTCAGCCTATATAATCCTGAGACCAAAACAACTAAGATCCCTGGCTACCACTGCTGACTGCTCTATCACAGTAGGAGATCCTTGACAGAGTAGGAGAAAAATTTGCATGAAAATTCAAAAATAGAAAAGACTGGGATTACTGGTTAGATAGAGATTGGTGAAACCCCCAAGACTATGGGCCCTAGTCACCCTTCAAGCCTGGAATTGAATTCACTCCCATGGCTTAACTCTCAGCCAAGCAATAGACAGGCCTTTGAACTGAACGATTACACCAGCAAGATGCACTCCTTAGACCAACCATGGGAGATTAGGAAGGCACTATTTGTACAAGGATAAAGCTAGGGAGGCAGGAATGCATAGGAATGAAGGGCACAGGGAAAAGGTAACAGGGAGGAAGTAAGAAGAGAGCTGTTACATTGTAGGAATTATAATCAATGTCACTAAATAAAATGTTTATGAACTGTTGAATTTTATGGAATCTGCTCTGTGAAATTTCACCCAAATCTAAAAAGTTAAAAAAAAAAATTTCCCTTTGAATTTATATATTATGACTTGATTATATGCAATGTGAAAGTAATTATTAAGTGATTAACAAAAATGACTTATTAAACTAATTTTTAAAGAGAAGAAATATATATGTAGCCCTTTAACGTTCTATCTATGATACCTCTAATACAAAGAAGCTTCATTAGGGTAATAAGCTGTCTTTCCTTGTCTTTTTCTTTCTTTCTTTTTTTTTTTTTTTTAAATTTCACCCCATGCTTGGATGTATATTGTTTGCATTTTCTCTTTTTGATCTTTTTTTAGTCATGATTCAGTCATATATTGCTTGAGTACAAAATACTCCAAAATACTTGAGGTCACCATGAGTCAGAATCGACTCAATGACAACTGGTTACAATACTAAAAGGACTAATGATATCTTTTCCACATGGAGCTTGAATACTAATGGAGAGAGGTGTTTTTTGTGCTCATGGTCTGAGAAATTCTATTGCTTTCACTTATGACTATTTGGTTGATTGGCATAGGACTCTATAGTCATTTTGTTTTGTTGTCTTCATATATTTACAATTGCAGAGATACATTTCATTAGCTTACTGTTAATTCATTTTTAGAAATAAATCCACTTGTTTTCTCATATAATTTTGTAAATTTTTCCTTTATATGCAATATATTAAAGAGTTCTGGTGGCACAGTGCCTAAGGCATTTGACTGCTAACCGGAAGGTTGGCAGTTCAAACTTAACAGCAGCTCCTCAGAAGAAAGATAACACAATCTACGTCCATAAAGATTTACCATCTTGGTAACCCAATGGGGGTCACTATGAGTTGAATTGATTCCATGTCAGTGTTTGTCTTTTTTTCTTTTTCTTTTACGTATTATATAAAGGATATATTTATACACACATGCACATGTGCATGTAACATTTTTTCAGAACAGGGATACAAGTTGATTTATTTTGGTTAATTTTCACAAGTACTCTTAACTTTTTTAATTTAACTCTTCCTTCAGCTCAGATGCATTTTCTTCTATGTTGTTGTTGATTATCACTTCTTCCCTTTCCTAGTTTTTTCTGGAATTTATTTATTAAACTTACCTTAGTACTCCAGTGTCTGCAGTCTTCTGCTCTAGTTCAGGGAGAAGTTCTTGATTTAATTTCTATTTTACTGATTTATTTTTTTTGGCAATATCCAATCTGTTTACTACACCTATATGAATTTTAATTTATAGCGATAAATTTTGAATAATTTCAGATTGTCCCCTTTTCAAGAACTAATGGCTGCAGCTTTTGAGATACAGTCTTTCCTTGAATCTTCTGAAAAGTAAACATAAAAGTTTTCTAAAACTGTGTTCTGTTCCTTACAGTAACTGTTTCATAATGAGAACTTTCTTTTAATTCTCATTCATGACATTAATCTCTCTCTTTTTTTATTAAACGATATTTTAATGTTCTTTAGAGAGTGATTTTTAGGCATGTTTAATATAAGGCATGGGGAAGAACACTCTAAAATAGTGCATGGGTTACTGAATATTTCTTTCCGAAATAAAGAAAAATAGGAAGCATCAAAGTTTACTAAAATGTCATTGGCCATTTAGAACTTCTGCAGCCTGGGCATAGAAAACTGAGGTCCCCAAACAACTATAGTACTGAACTTTGCCTCAGTACCGAAGAGGCAAAGTCCGTATTTGTAGGCAGACCTGGGATTACGTAGGAGCCATAACTCTGTAATAGGTTACCTTCTCTAGGAACTTAATCATTCTGGTTTCATCTGCAATAAACTCAGAACTTATTCCAAAATCTGATAGGTATTGTCATTCCCTCATAGTGATTCCATTGTAATGCAGATATTTTGCTATTTTTATATTCTATTGGCTATTTAATGGGAGTTTGACAGGAGTTATACAGATTCATGAACTCGGGGTCATTATTCTTGGGTGTTTCAAGATGAAATAGATAAACTTTCCTTCATAATATTTGTGATTATTATATTATCCTGATATAGTTTTATGCCTTTTCTTGCTTTGATTTATGTTAATTTAAATGTTCTTTTCTGTATTGCTGTTTTATTTTACCATTAATATTTCTACTGTTCAAGCTTCTTCCTTTTATATTCTTTTAAATATTTTTAAACATTTTTACCCTTGTTGTTTTTGTATTATATTTGGCTGATGGTATCTTGTCTGTAATTATTTTCTCACTTTATAATCCAATCTATATTTATTATTATGGTGTTTTCACAAGTTTAATATCTTACCATTAATCTTTTATACCTCTCATTTTCATGATTTAAACATTTTATCTTGTTGCCTTCCTTATACATTTTCATTTCCTTTGTCTTAAATCTAATTTTTTTTAGTATCTTAGAAAATCCCAATTTTCTACCTTTGTTATTTTAAATTCTAATTTTTAATATAAGTTCTATGCCTTATGTCAGTATTAAGGCTTTAATTTTTGTAGATAGCACCTCATTTGTTATATATATCACTCTATGCATTAGAATTTTCTTTAGCTTTTTTATATTTTTATTTTATTTTTTTTACATAATTTTGTTTATAATGGCTAGTAAGAAAGTGACTAATTTTCACTAATGGATTGTTTAATAGTCTTCCAAATATTTTAATTTTGGGAAAATCATCAGTTACACAATTTAGTATTCTCCTGTGCAAAAAGTATACATTCCAAACAGAAAACAAAACATAGCAAAACAACCAATTCCTTCAAATGGTGTAATTTCCTAATACCCCTCTTATCCAGCTCTTAAATAATTATAGTCAATGGTCTTAGAATTTTTAAATTTAGATAATTCTATCAGGATTTATTATCCAGCTAGACTGGTATATAATAGGAGAAATTTACATACAGAGAGTGAATTTCTCCCATATAATGGATGATCTTGCTGAGGAGCTAGTTTGGGTTGAACAGCCCATTACTTGGGTAGATTAGCCAATGTCGACTGACTATTATAAGATCCATTACCAGTTACCTGCCATCCTATTTTTCATCAGTTTTATTCAGGTATTCTTTGTTGTTGTTGTAATATGCCTTCCAGTTGATTTTGACTCATGGCAACCCCTCCTTGGGTTTCCGAGGCAGTATCACTATGGAAGTAGATTGCCCCATCTTCCTTCCGAGGAGTGGCTGGTGGGTTTGAACTGCCAGCCACTCCTCGGAAGGAACATCAGGTAAATTCTTACTACCAGTAAATTCACTTCCCTTTCCATAGGGTCATAGAGAAATCTTTTTGTTATGTGGATCATATTATTCAGAGTCCTTTCAAGATTAATGGACAAAGAGAAGTCCAGGATGGGAGAAATACCCTCACTCCTCAATTATTGATAAGGTTCAGTCCCAAAGACCAGGTTGTTATGTGAAAATTGGTGTTATGCAAAAATAGAGGATGAACACATCACCTCCCCTGTGCTGTGAATGTTCCTCCAGGCCCTGCTGAGGTCACCTACCAATGCCACCTCTCCTGCCCTCACTGTACTTTCAGGATGAGTGTCTCTAGCTCATTCCCTCAACGACCTCAAAATGCCCCTCATGGCTTTGTTGGGTTCAGGGCTCTCTATCCACATATGGGAGGGCCTCGATGCTGCAGGAGGGTTGCACACTGCTAAATGAGTCCCTCTGCTGAACCCTCACTTGAGCATTCCCTAGCTCTTTCGGGGTGGGGCTTCCACTCCCATGTTCCCTTGAGAATTGGCAATCTAGAGCTTCCTCTGAGCTGTGATGAAAAGGCCCAACCTTTGCCCTTGACCATAACCTGTAGCTGTCGCTGGTCATTCACTCACTAAGGCCACCTCCACTCAAGTAGCCTGTCCTATCCTTACTTGTGCTCATTCAAGAGAGACATTGAGGAAATATCAGGGCCACACTGGTGCCAGTCAGATGATGTAGGGTCCCAAAGACCCCAGGCATGTGAGTACTCCATATCAAGTATCCTTCTGACCAGGCCTGGTCCTGTCTCCCCTCCAGGCTGGAACCTGGGTTCAGCTCCTGGGGTCCTGCTTCCTCCCAGGCCCTGATGGTGGACTACTTTGAGGACAATGGCTGCTTCTGTCCCAGCCTCAGCCTCTCCCTCCATGAGGAACCCCAGTAGCTCAGGGAGATCATGCCCCCTCTTCCTTCCTGGGTGGTAATATACTATGCAATAGGTTTCCTTTCTATGTGCATATGGGGTCTGCTGATCAAGGACCTTGACATTCATTACTGCCAGATACATGTCCTTAATGTCCAAAATGGTCAAATAGATTTTCTACTATTATCATAATTATGAATGTTGGATAACGAGATAGTTGATAAGAGAGGGGTAGGTATACAGATGAGTATTTTTTTACTTGTGAAAGATTTTTATTTTGGCAGCCAATTATAATTCTATTAAGTGATTTCCCTTAGAACATGAAGCTTATTAAGTGGAGAGAGCAACTGGCTGGGGGTGGGTGGTAGAGAATAGAGGAGAGTGAAATAATTTTCCTAGTTCCAAATTCTGTATCTGGAAAGTGGAAAGCTGAAAACTTGTCTTTCTTTTTCTTCTCATGTGTGTGGACTGGGATGTAGAGCACATGCCTCTTCTATAAAGGACACGAAGCCTGGAACCCAGAAGTGGGTTGGGTTATCAGTCAGCCAGACAGAAGTTAACAGGGTGAATCTCTTCAGTTTGGAGGCTAACTTAGAATTTTTTTTATAAACTCATCATCACAATCACCAAGATTCTTTTGATGCTTTGTCTATTTCTCCCAAAGAAAAATGTGGATTGGATGAGTAGAATTATGTTTAAGGTTACTCAGATTTGCTGTTGCGTAGCCTTAAAGGACCAAAGGACCTATCGAGGGGTATGTCTTTATAGTTGGTCTTACCTCATTTTTTTGTTTTTAGATCTGACTTATTGCACCTTATAATTAATCAGCCTAGAATTGACATCTTCACTATATTCCCAAATGTTATCCTAATAATAATAGGACTTTACAAGACCTTTTTTAACATTTTATTGAAAATACATTCAAATAGCATTGTAAGTTCCTCATTGTGTTGACTGATGAAAAGTTCAGAACATTTACTTTTGTACCTTTATTTTCTTATTTTAAAAGTAAACAAGGAATACAGTTTAATTATCTTTTGCATATTTATAAGTTAATTAAATTATTTTAAGGTAGAACTGTAAATGCATGAATATATGCAAGGTGAATACCCACTGTATTTTTTCTCATAATTGCTCCTAAAAAATTATTTCCTTGGAATCAAATTTGAGGCCTAATATTTTATGGCAATATAATTGAACCATTCATTCCTAAGTTTATTGTTTTTCATTTTAACAACAGGGGGTTAAATTCTGGCATAGAGTTATAAATTTCATAATTCACCAGGCTGTTGTCAACTACATTAATTAGCTACATTAGTGTTCCACATTATGGTTCATATGAACACAATTCACAATCTCTTAACTTAATTGAATTTCAGGTAACAATCTCTCCTCACTTTGAAATGCTGAGGAGTCCCAACCTTATGTGAAACTGCTATTTTTCAGCTACAAGATTGTATTAGTGTAACGCTTGTTATAATTATCAATTTAAACAGCACTGTGTGGTGAATTTAACTGCATTAATTGTATCTTGTTTTTCATCCAGACAATAATATCATTTATTTTAGGTTCAAATGTGCACCAAGGAATGTATAGAAGACTTATTTTACCCCAAAAACATACATTGTTATATCAGTTTGCAAAATTATTATTGTAAAACAATTTACTAAGGAACTTTTATCTATTTAAAGCAACTGAATAGGATAAATGTTAGTCTATTAGAATCATTCTTACATCATTTCATTAAAGAACACATTAAGTTAACATTATTGGGAAAGAAAAAAAAATCAGATATTAAAAGTAGTTAATTGATGTACCTTTAACTATTGGGAGGCACTCTCTTTCAGATATATCTTTTGATTAATAATAATTTGTGACAGTGAATAGAGTCAATTTATCACTGAAATTTCCTCAGAGGTTGAAAAGAGTTTTGAACTATCACTTACACCTCATATGCTTACCATTCAGTCTGCTGCCTTAACTCAGCCAGTTGATGGAGACGTTTAAGTGCTTTTTCTTGTTTCTTCTCATCTTTCCATGACTTAGAAGCTACATTTCGAGCAAATTCTCGTTGCTTTAATTCTTTCAATCTCTGTGGGAAAGAAGAAAAACAGAAAACAAACTATAAATAACTAAAATATTCTTTTATATTCTTTTCTTGATGTAAGAGACCTTATAAACTTTGGCCTGTGTGCAGAAGTGGCATTCTGGATTAAAACAAACAAAAACCCACCAAACTCACTGCTGTTGAACGGAATTCGACTCATAGCGACCCTTTCTTGGGTTTCCGAGGCATATCACTACCTCCTGGTTAGCAGTCAAATGCCTTAGGCGCTACACCACCAGAGCTCCCAGGCATTCTGGATAGGAAGAATAAAAGCATCTTCTCTATCCATGCCATTCTCCGCTCCGGTGCAAATGTAGTAGACCAATGTAGTCATCAACTGGGTTGTTTATTAAAGCTTGTCACAGTCACTGCAGAAATATGGCACAATACTGGGCCTTAGTCCTTGTTTGAACCACCTTGATTACACATCTTTAATCATCTGTGTGCCTGTGGAAACTCAAGTGGGAAACGTGTACCATACATGAATGGATATGACGGTAGAGGAGATTGTGGCAGTGGTTGTGTTAGGTGCCATTGACTCAGCTCTGAGTCGTAGTGATCCTATGTACAACAGAATGAAACACTGCCTGGTCGTGTGCCATCCTCACAATGAGGACCTTGTTGCATCCACTAGGTCAATCCATGTTGTTGAGGGTCTTTTCCGTTTTTGCTGAGGCTCCACTTTACCAAGCATGATATCCTTCTCTAGGGAATGGTGCTTTCTGAAAACATGACCAAAGTAGGTGCAACAAGGTCTGGCCATTCTCGCTTCCAAGGAGCATTCCAGCTGCACTTCCTCCAGGACAGACTTGTTCATTCTTCTGGCAGTCCATGGTATTTTCAGTATTCATTGCCAACACCACAATTCAAAGGCATCAACTCTTTATTCTTCCTTGTTCGTCGTCCAGCTTTTGTAGTTATATTAGACAATTTAAAATAGCATGTCTTGACTTAAGCACACCTTATCTTCAAAGTGACATCTTTGCTCTTCAACATTTTAAAGAGGTGTTTTGCTGCAGATTTGCCCAATGTGATACATCTGATTTCCTGACTACTGCTTCCATAGATGTTGATTGTGGATCAAAGTAAATTGAAATCCCTGACAACTTCAATCTTTTCTCCATTTATTATGATGCTTCTTATTGGTCCAGATGTGAGGATTTTTATTTTCTTTATGTTAAAGTGTAATCCATACTGAAGACTGAAGTCTTTGATCTTTATCAGTAAGTGCTTCAAGTCTTCTCCACTTTCAGCAAGCAAGGTTGTGTCATCTGCATATCTCAGGTTGTTAATGAGTCTTCCTTCAATCCTAATGTTCTGTTCTTCTTTATACAGTCCAGCTTCCCAGATTATTTGCTCAGCATACAGATTGAATAAGTATGGTGAAAGGATCCAACCCAGATGCACACCTTTGTGGTTTTAAACCATGCTCTATCCCTTTGTTCTATTCAGATGACAGCCTCTTGGTCTATGTACAGTTCCTCATGAGCACAATTAAGTGTTCTGGCATCCCCATTGTTTGTAATATTACCATAATTTGTTATGATCCACACAGTCAAATGTCTTTGCATGTCAATAAAACACAAGTAAATATCTTTCTGGTATTCTTTGCTTTCAGCCAAGATCCATCTGACATCAGCAATGATATCCCTTATTCCATTCCCTTTTCTGAATTTGGCTTGAATTTCTGGCACTTGTCTGTCAATATACTGCTGCAACCATTTTTGAATTATCTTCAGCAACATTTTACTTGTGTGGGATATAGATACATTGTTCTCTAATTTCCACATCGTGTTGGATCATCTTTCTTTGAAATGGGCACAAATATGGATCTCTTGCAGTCAGTTGGTCATAGATGTCTTCTCAATTACTTAGCATAGATAAGTAAGTGCCTCCAGTGCTCCATTCATTTGTTGAAACATCTTGATGGGTATACCATCTATTTCCTAGAG